TTTTTTGTTGTTGAAGTGTTTGACTCCTAAACAAAATGTTGCCAGTTTAAACTTGCTAGCTGTTCTGCAGAAGAATGATAACTCAGTCTGTTTCTATTCTATTCTACAGGTTTGTTAGAAGTGAGAATCAACTAAACAGCAAAAGTTTTTTTTTTAATGCAAAATGAATGGGTCAGAAATCGCAAAAGAAAAGGAAGAAAACTATGTACATATTTATAATTCAGTGGGATATCAATATCATATTATTAATTTTACTTATCCGTACCAAATGTACCACAACCTTCTATTGCACCTGTCACTTACTAATGTATAATTAATTTTGAAGATAAGCACAATGACTGACACTTTTGTGTTCTTCTCAAAATTCAGTGCTTTTCTTGACCCAACATGAATTTTGTGGATTCTTGCTTAATTATTGAATGCTGAGAATGTGATTATGTTACTCTGACCCTTCCAGTCAGCTTTCTCAAAGCCTGCTTCATGTCCTTGTTCCTAAGGCTATAGATGAAAGGGTTCAGCATGGGAGTAACGACTGTATAGACGACAGTGACCACACGGTCCTTTGTCACTGAGTAGGTGGATGAGGGGCGAATGTACACAGATATGATGGTTCCATAGAATAATGCCACCACTGTGAGGTGGGATCCACAGGTGGAGAAGACCTTGTATCTGCCTCCTCCTAAAGGGACCCTCAGAACAGCACGGGCTATGTAGACATAAGACACAATAATGATGATGAGAGAACTCATAAGCACAAAGGAGCCCTCTGTGAAGGTCACGAGCTCATTGACAGAAGTGTCAGAGCAGGAGAGCGCTAGCAGTAGCTGGACATCACAGAAAAAGTGGTGGATGATGTTGGATCCACAGAAGGAGAGGCGGGCCATAAGAATCGTGTGGGTGAGTGAGTGGAGATGAGACACCACCCAGGATGTCACCACCAGCAAGAGGCAGCGCCTGGGGCTCATGGTTGTGGTGTAATGCAGTGGGTTACAGATGGCCACATAGCGGTCAGTGGCCATGGCAGCCAGGAGGAAACTATCAGTGGTACCAAATGCCACAAAAAAATACATCTGAGTGAGGCACTGCCCAAAC